GCATACACGTCTGACTTCTGAGTAAATTTGCAAGTATGAAAGACTTCCGGTGCAATAAAAGGCAAAACACCTCGAATTGTTGAATTTGACTGGTGTGAATTCACTGACCGTGAGAGACCAAGATCGCATATGAGTGTTTGTGCAAATATCGTATTATCCATGTTATGCATAACAATATTTCCACCATGAAGATCACAATGTACTAAACCCTTATCATGGATATTTCTCAGATAAATCATGAGATCAGCCACACACCGTACTTTATCCATCCACGTCAAATTGTTAATATTCTGATCCAAATAAGACAAAAGACTACCATCGTTAGCATACTGCATAACAATTATGTATTCTTTTGTTTCTGGATCTTGTGTGACTCCATAAATTTTAAGGAATAAAAAATAATCACTGTCCATGCACTTGGCATGATTTCTGAACTATTAATAAAAGCAAATACAGCGTTAGACTAAATATTACTTTAATCAGCATTATCAATTATTGCTTACCTCGGAAATAAATAACTCCGGCATTTCATCAAAATTTGTTACGTGTCGATAAATTCAATTTGAAATATTAACGTTGTATATTTCTAATGATTTAGTAACTCAAGATTTTGAATAATACAGTCGGTCTTACGGTTATATATGACGATATGAGTTTAAATGAGAAATAAAGATTTGTGCAAGAAATCTATTACTATGTGATCGATCGATTTTAAAGACAAAGAGTATGTTTGAGTATGTGAGAAAGATTCGACGAATATATCTTCGTGCCGTCAAAAAATTTCACCGAAAGGAAGAGAAAGATAGTCTGTCAGTATTCACGCAAAATCGTACAATGAACAAGTTTTAGGTTTGAATAATATGACTGATCATTATATTTTCGTGTTAAGTATGGAGTAGACGTCCGATTCATCTTTCCTTTCAGAAAAAAGACCGTGACCGAAACTATGGATGCTATATTTAGATACTACATGGGAGCATAAAACCCATTTGCTAGAAATAAAGCTCGACCCAAAAATTCGCTCTCGCCCCCACACGTTCCAAAGTTCTTTTTTCGTGTGTTATACTTTTCCGCTATCTTTTGCTCAATCGCCTGCACGAAATCCAGTCCATTTTTCAAATTGTCATACATTTTTCAACTATCACCTGCACACCCTCCACGCCGATCCACCTCGGCGACTTGAAGTAGCTTTGTCTTGTGCGACTTGTATACCATCTCAACTATCAAACCACTCTATATCGGTAAATTTAAATATTCTCTTGATATCTCGACATCTGCCGTAGCTGGAATTGTTGATACGATAACTTGAGGTAGAGACGATAGGGTTCGGAGAGACTGGGAAAAACGGTACGTAATCCCGTATTCTGTCGAGAACGATGCGGCAAGAGATTGTGTGTTGCAGGCGTGCGATTGAAGAGATAGATTGGTAAATTCCCAAGCATAAAGTGCCGCGCGTGATGACCACCCCAATGACAAGATCCGCACTTCCTTGATGGGCGCAATTGCAATCTTCGAGCGCACGTTCGATGCTATACGATGCCCAGTTATCTCCCAAGAGTAGTTCTTGTCTCTGACGGCTATTATAGTATTCACGGCTCCGATTTATTTTGCAGATTCACATACTTCGTCCAGATATTTTAATACTAATACATCGAGTTTGTATGAAATAGTAACAGATGCATCGCCGAAATTCTCACTTTCGAAAATAGGCCCCCAACAACAGTATCAACTAAATGGTATTGATGCGGAAGACCCAAAACCGCAAACTGCGTGTTATGAATGGTAGCTCAATTGGGAGGCCAAACAAATAGTAATTTCGCTTTGAGAGTATTCCAAGCAAGTGCCGAGCATTATGTATTTGTCCGTGACTGGAATGAGTGACCGGAGTGAACGTGTTGTTTAATATTCTCGTCAATTGTCC